CTTGAGGATAGTCTCGGGAACCGTCGGGACTTTAGTGCCGGTCGGGGCCGCAGACCCGGTCTTCGGTGCACTCTTACTGTCCATCCGATCAGACAAAAGACAATCAATTAATCCAATGAATCAAATCAACACAAAAAACACGTGTTTTGTGTCGGCGTTCAACTCAATGCTAAAACGACTCAAAACACTATTAATTCAATAATCACTGCAACTATCGGACAGTCAATGGGTTTAGGGGTCGTGAGGGGACTAACGGTGCCCTCAAATAGTGATTACAATTGAATTAAAAGTAATTGCAATGAAAAGGCAAACTAAACACAACTTACGTGTTAGACATCGTTCAACAGGAAAGGGATGTAATGTCTCACCGCAGCACTCACTACAGTGTGGGCCATACGTGCTGTACGTCACGTAAAGTATGTCACACTTCACGCAAACGATTCATGTTTTGATTATTTATTAAAAACAATTTCAATTGAAATTAGTTTTAAAAACTACTAAATTATGTCCACAAATACAAAACCAATTGAATGGCAGGAAAACATTGAAAAGAAAAGTTTTAATCGCTTTTCAATTGATCAGTAAATTGAGTTCAGTTTCAAAGCCTGGGTTTTTGATAGACACGTGACTTTTGTATACAAAACAGTGCACTCAATGTCTGTGTCTTAAGATATTTTCANATTGAAAAGAAAAGTTTTAATCGCTTTTCAATTGATCAGTAAATTGAGTTCAGTTTCAAAGCCTGGGTTTTTGATAGACACGTGACTTTTGTATACAAAACAGTGCACTCAATGTCTGTGTCTTAAGATATTTTCAAACCATCGATGACTGAGTTGAGGACCAATTGATCTCTCGAATTAAGCCATGAATTCACCGCAAAGTCTATGCCAATCATGTCTTAGACTCAGACCACACCTCATGACATCACTATCATCTCTATCACCGCCGCAAACAGCGTATCACTGGACCCGACCATCGCTGCCATTATCATCACCTCTGATGGCGACCACCACTCGAGGTATCTTTGGTTTCGGAGGCAAGAAGAAGACCGACAAAAGCGCCGATGAATTGATACCAATGGAGACTCCGGAGGAAGAGGCGCGCCGTCAGCTCGCGCTCACCGAAGACCAGGTGCTGGCCATCCGAGACAAGTCTAATTTGCCGCCACTCGTGAGGGCACAGTTGACACTGAAGGACATCCCGGACATCAAGTTCTTGCACCAAATGAAGGCGCCGGCCGTCCGCAAGCGGTACGCCCTCTACGGCCGGGCGTCTGGTCTGAAGCCGGGAGTGATGTGGCCCTCGAGGGATGAACTCCAAGACCTCAAGAGTTACGAACGGGTCTTCTGTAAGCCATTGCAGGAGATGACGGATGAGGTGAGGGCTCAGAGGGAACGGGAGGCAGAAAAGCGAAGACTGCGCGAGAAGGAGGTGACGGAGAATCTGAAGAAATTGCCTAAAATTAAGGCCGAGTTTTGGGCCAAACATAAGCAGATGTATAAAGAGAGGGACGAAGAGAAGGCCAAAAAGGAGCGGTTGGTTCAGGAGGTCCGGGAGTTTGTGGGCTACGAGTTGGACCCATCGGACCCTCGCTTCGAGGAGGCGTTGGTTAAGAGGGACGAAGAGCTCAAGAAAGTGTTGAGAGCGCAGAGGAAACAGGAGAGACAGAAGTTGACACTCGAGAGGCTCCAGGCGTTGGCCAATGAGGCCATGGAGAGGGAACGGGAGGATAAGGATATACTCGACAAGAGTTCGGCCAAAGCTGCCGATAAACAAGTGTCCAAAGAGGGCGCCGATAATTAGATAGTTATCAGTGTTTTGTTTAAATGTATTTAAAATTAATAAAATTATTTGCCTTAAAAGCCATCTCTCTCTCTCTCTCTCTCTCTCTCCTTTCTTTGAGTTAAATTGAAATCAATTTTAAAATAATTTGAATCGAGATTTAGTTTGAAATGAAAAATGGATTTTTATTTGAGTAATAAAATGGGAAAAATATATTTAATGAGAAAAAGATTTTGATATATCGAGTGAAATAAAGTTTAGATTTTTATATCAGATTTCATAAGCTTTTGATCGATCGATACATTTATAATGAAACATTTTATAAGTTAAAAACAATGATTTGCATCACAAGTGATAAATTAATGGCACATTCAGTAGTGATTGTGTGTTAATATGCAACAGATATGGGATTTAGACACTAATTATACTGATTATCAATTATCAATAATGTATTAAATAAATACTTTTAGATAATCCGTATTAAGACAAACAGTAAATATTGGAGTAAATTTTCAATAGAAATAGTGATTTAAAAAATAAAAGTATTATGATTACAGTTAACTCTTAAAATAGTGAACTTCTCTCTCATTTGTGTACAGAAAGACTTGTGGATTCTTACGCTATTCTATTCATATCACATGTTATTCATATTATGTAAACCAGTCCTATGCGATATTCTAAGGTACAGTATTACTAAACTACTGATATTAGTGTACAAACATTAGTGTGTATACTGTTATAGTAAACAACCCAATGATATTGTAAACAGTATTCCAGATTCTATAACTACTACCAAAAATACAGTACTCATTACATACTCGTGAGTCTGAATTGTGTGAAATATGTCGCAATAGTACTAATAATTTGTCGTAATAGTAGTCTCGTTATAGTGAAGCACCGATTTGTGTACACAAATAGTTATACAATTGACAAATAATGTGTTGATGTGTGTGTGTTTGTAGGCGCAGTACACTATTGACACCGAGTTTTACTGTAATATCAAAAATTAAAATTATATTTAACAAACTTTGCAAACAAATACTTTTCAAGTGTTTTAATACACAATACGAACAGTTATTACAAAGACATTTGAAGACAATTATTGTTTTAAAAGCTTTTTATTATTATTTTTTAATCATTATTCAGCCTTTATATCGCACCAAATATATAGCAAATAAATAATTGAATCATAAAATAATCGTTTTGTTTGAAACCGTAGACTTCGAAGCATTAAATTTAAAAGCAATTGCAATCATAAATTACTAATCGATAGCACTCTTAGGAATTATAATAGCATTTGAGATGAGATTTTAAACATAAATAGTAATAATAATTACAAATAGTTAATCAATTTCATAGACTTTTTGCGCACAAATATATTGTCGGGAAAGCAAACAAAACTTAAGTTAAACTTTAAATTCAAAAAATTATAATAAAAATAGAAATCGTATCCAAAACTCATGACACGTTTGGATGTTTAAGAGATGGGTCTGTCCTCTGGTATCGTCGGCGAAGTGATGGGCGAAGTGGCGTTCAGTGAGGACTTGCGTTCAGTGCTGTTCAGGGCGTCCTCGAAGCTATTGGTGCTATTGCTCCGGGAGGTCGACATTTTGCTCTACACCACACATCAGTGGCACAATTGGCACATCAGTCATGCAAGTATTCGCACAGTTAGTCAACAAATTCAATACAACTTCTAGTCTTAAATCTATTTTACCACTAAATCATCTCAACTCACAATCTATTCAAAGCTCATTTTAAAGGTATTGATAACAATGTCTGCAATTCTCATATCATTTACGGTAATAATAACTATCCTTATGAGTGAATATAACTATTTATAAATTGTTTATACCGTACAAAACACATAACTGGTGTCTAATCTGCAGACATAATACTAATACCGGTGCTGTAAAGTAGTCAACAAGTAGTCCATACCTTAACGTTGGTGACGGCAGAGCCCACCCGTTCCTCAAACGACTTGAAGGCATTGGAGTTCTTCACTTCACCCAACTTTCGGGCAACACTTCCGCCCAGAGATCCAAACACTGACGATGTCTTCTCAGTGGCCGTCTTCACAGCGTCGGACGTCTTTTGGTAACTATACAATCTTATTGCTCCGGGAGGTCGACATTTTGCTCTACACCACACATCAGTGGCACAATTGGCACATCAGTCATGCAAGTATTCGCACAGTTAGTCAACAAATTCAATACAACTTCTAGTCTTAAATCTATTTGACCACTAAATCATCTCAACTCACAATCTATTCAAAGCTCATTCTAAAGGTATTGATAACAATGTCTGCAATTCTCATATCATTTACGGTAATAATAACTATCCTTATGAGTGAATATAACTATTTATAAATTGTTTATGCCGTACAAAACACATAACTGGTGTCTAATCTGCAGACATAATACTAATACCGGTGCTGTAAAGTAGTCAACAAGCAGTCCATACCTTAACGTTGGTGACGGCAGAGCCCACCCGTTCCTCAAACGACTTAAAGGCATTGGAGTTCTTCACTTCACCCAACTTTCGGGCAACACTTCCGCCCAGAGATCCAAACACTGACGATGTCTTCTCAGTGGCCGTCTTCACAGCGTCGGACGTCTTTTGGTAACTATACAATCAGTATAACAGTTAATACAATACAACAAAATGCCACACAATTTAGCAAAAAAACAATAGAAAGCGTCTCCGAAAGCATACATTAATACGAAAACAAATGATAAGTATTTGAGATTAATTTGAATTAGAGTTAACACATACGCTGGCGCTGAGAATATTCCCAATCCTGAGCTGTATAGCAGTTAAAGGATAAATACAGTGATAATTAAAAGCACACCAATTAATCATACATTCAATTCATATGACAAACAATTAATTCATAGACTATCAGAACCGCACAATACATTCAACACAAACGCTTATAAATAGATGAGTCAACAGATTATATCAATTAATGCCAGAATGAAAGCCATTGGAATGAAAGTGGACAGAGCGGCGATAGGATAGTGAGGTTGGGAGGGTAGGGGACAGACACTCACATGGGGGCACTTTGTATGACGGTATTCCATTCGACGATCTTATCGGACGTCTCTTTATATCTATCATATGGTAATCACATTTAAATGTCTATACTTTGAGGGAAGTCTTCAAAATTAAGTTAACATTTAAAATAAAAAAGAGTTCAAAACGTGTCAACTTGTCATAGCTATGGAAACTGTAGGAAAAGACAGACAGACAGATATCGCATAAAAACAAAAACTATAGACTAAACTAATTATTAAAATAATTTGCTTAACACTGGAATCAAGTTTTTCAAAAAACTAAACCCGTTCTCAAGATTAGTCAGTCAGTGTCTCTCATCTATTTATAGCACTGGTAAGGGATGTAAGGGTGATATATGGGTGATAGGAATGTCATACGCGGTGGTCTCCTGGATGTTTTTGATGCCCTGTTCCATGTCTTCGCGGAACTCCTTCCAGACAGTGATTCCCAGTTTCCTCTTGAGTTCGTGCGCCCTCTGAACCTTCGACGTCAACACCTGTCGCAGCGTTTGGATCTCCTCTTCCGTCTGTCAGCCATACAAACAGTCAATTAGTTATGGATTCAACACTTCAGACACAAGGCCGCAGCTAATGGACGCATACTTTAGCCAATTCTAGCCGCCATTCCTCCTGTAATTGTTCCCTTCGGATGGGATCCATACCCGACAGATCATTACCCGTCTCGTGGGTCAGATCATAACCATCATCGCTCGACGCGTTATAAAACGTGTCTGAAATGGCATACAAAACAAAGTAATTAAATTTCATTTCTCATTAAACACTCGCAAATGAAACACAAAATTCATTATTAAAACCAATTTCTCTAATTGCCATTAAATGCATTGTTTTAAACAAATTGCTTTCAAACGTCAAAACAACAACAAGAAAATCATAAAATAATTAATTGGACGACAAATGAATGGAGGTACAGTATTTGACATTAAACTCCAGCGCTCGCATACCGGTGCCGTCACTCAATCATAAATATTGATTATAATATCGCAATAGTTAAGCGAAACAACAAATAAAAAAAACTAATTTCCATAACAGAGTAAAATGTAATTTCAAAAAAACACAATCAGTTTAAAACATGATTTCAAACGCCAGTCATCCGTATCCCACAGGACTGGCAGGTAATGGATAGGTATGTGGAGAAGGACTCGTTTGTATTGTACAACAAATACCTAATTCTTCGCTCTCTTCGGCGGATGCGATGCGTCTGAAAGTCTCGTACTTTTCGGGGTCTAAGGGCTCGGGCTTCAGCTCATCACCGGTGCTCAGCTCGTCGTAGTCGGCGCTCCTGAGGCTACCGTTCCTATTGTCCTGCGCTAAGCTCTGGGCCCTCTTATCCGTCTTATTAGCATTGGATTTACTTTTACTATTGTTTGCCTTTTTGGACGACATCTCAACAATTTATACACAAAAACACGTCAAATATTGAACGCAAATATGAGACTAAAAATATAAACACTTTTCGATTCGTTTGATAATAAAAAGCACTAAAAATATGATCACAATAACAATAATAGTGCGAAAAATTCAATTAAACAAACAGTGAATAATAAAAGTGAGAGAAATGTCATTAATTTGCAAATCAAACACCAGAAAAGTGTATTAAATATTTGCACAAAACTTGATAATGAAGTGCAAACAAAAAAATCAATAAAAACACTATTATTGGAGTAATTAATGGCAACACTATTAGCACTATTTAATTGATATGAATGGCAATCGTGTAATGGGTTTGAGATGTTTGTGTCGCTGAGTGAACACGTATTGCAATCCAATCCATACAACAAATGCATACAATTTGCCAAAGAGTTCAATAAAACAACAAAACCGATGGTATGTCTTGGCAATCGTGTAATGGGTTTGAGATGTTTGTGTCGCTGAGTGAACACGTATTGCAATCCAATCCATACAACAAATGCATACAATTTGCCAAAGAGTTCAATAAAACAACAAAACCGATGGTATGTCTGAATGGATGGATGCGAGGGGTCTGGGGTTGAGGGGAGAGGCCGTCCACGACATACACTCCTCAGGCCACCAAACAGGTATACGTCACTCATGTGACTCATCAGCACCTGGAGTGGTGGCGGTGTAGCAGACAATCTAAGACAGGGTCTGAGATAAACCGGTTGCCCCACAACACGAGTATAAACATATCACCAAATATGCCATACCATACACTACTACTACACCACTATTTCAATAACATTCATCGAGTATTACCGAATATTAGTTATAGTCTACTATTTGGACCACTGGTTACCCCACGTGTGTCCAAGTGGTCACTCAATACACTGCTGTCTAGCCCTCAACTAACTGTAGTATTGCATTGGATTGGCATTAGATGTGACACTAATCGCCAATTGCTATGAATGTGGTCTCAGTGAAGATGGCATTTAATGCCATTTGTATGACAGTTGACGGCAATTGAGATATCATTGAAAACGGGTAACCGATTGACGTGTTTATACATGAATGGCCACAATCACCACAAATGACATCTTATCAAAGACATAGTCATCTCATACTCACTTGAGTTGTCCATCGGTGGTGTCAAGTCGTTCATGTCGTTCATAACGTATTGATTGGTGTATTGATAACAGTATTACTAATCGTAAACTAAGCACTCATTTAGCAATTGTTAGACTCTTTGGTGAATGAAAACACTTTCTCACGGATTCACTGATTGTGTGATTGGAGTGCACTGTAGGCGCAAATGGCTGTGCAATACAGTACACCACTGCTGGCTATACATCTAGAAATGCACGTTATTGTCACGTTATTTACTACCAGACCATCCACTATCATTTGCCAATTTATCATCGCGCACAGTTTGGTTTAGGACACGTCAATCAAGATTAATCATTTAATTTACAGTGGCATATTTATTTGTAATCAATTCATTATCTTATAAGTTACAACATATTTACCGTTATGTTCTGTATATTATACATTTGTATTAATACAGTACTTATTAGAAATTGTTTTTAAATTAAAAACACAGAATATTGCAAGATTACACTTAAGTTATCATATAACTTTTAAGTATTCATTTTAAGTAAAATTTATTTAATACTGTATAAGTCTTGAAAAGTTAAACAAGGCACATTTGATTAAGTAAATTATTTGACTATATAAATTGTAAATTTAACATATACCGTATTACCCATACCATACCTTATTTTTACAAAAAAAGATATACAGGTAATAAGTACCGGTATAATATCATAAAAACATTTATTACACGAATTTCAAAACATAATGATTTATCATTGTAAGCATTAAAGCAATTATTAAGTATTAGCAATAATAATGTATATATATTATGAATAAAATAGTTATTATTTTCTTATATTAATAGAAAAGTCAATCAATTTGTCACAACCGGTGATGAGATTCTTGTGGACGGAGGGTGTGTAGTGTTGGCTACCAAATAGCCTAACATTTTGCAAATTTTCAAGTTTTGACAATTCATTGAGCGCTATATCAGTGATATTCGTGTTCTCGATGTGTAACCACTGAAGTCGTGGCAAATGTCCGGCAATGCCATCGAAAAGCATTTCCTGAAACTTATAGCCATAATAAGAGATAATTGTTAAATGAGTCAATCCTTTGCATCCATTCAGTGATTCACTCGTTAGCGTAAAGTCTTCGGGAAAATAGCCTCTGATTTCCAAACGCTTTATGCGTCTAAAGTGTGTATTAATGGTAACTATAATTGCCAGCAGTTCTTGAGCTGAAAACTCGATGATATTCAGCGACAGTCTCTTAAGTCTTCGGCAATTGACACCAATTTGTTTCAATTGATTGGCGTTTAGGAAGCACTTCGAGTCGTTGATGATCTGCAAGTCAATCAAAGCCTTCATTTGCGACAAACCATTCATTAATGTCTTAAACGCCTTGTCGTCGCAACTCCTGCTGACCGTCACATCCAATGCCTTCAAACTCTGGCCATACTTTTGGACCAATAAATCAAAACCTTTCGCTTCTTTCATACTATACTTAAAGCTAATTCTCTTGAGTTTCGCAGACATTACGTGATTCCTATCACTGAACAGCTGTTGGAAAGGATTATTCCTCTGGTGGCCACTGATGTCCAGGTCATGCAAATTGACACAAACCCTCGCATTCCTCACAATTGTCTTATTATACAAAGTATTCGCTGTTTTTGTAAAAGAAATTGACTTTAATTTTGGGCCAAATTTTGCGAAAAACTCATTCAAATGATCGGCACTTAAGTCGCGAATACTTTTCATATTTATTGCATTCAATTGCAGACAGTATTTGACAATACATTCAAAGACAGCATTAATACTAAACTTATGGATACTATCGACGGATACATCGGTAATATTCACACACTTTCTCACTATTGCCTCAAATCTCTCAATGAATACACAGTTGTCATCATTTGGACTCAATTTATGGCATAAATTCATATCAATTATCAACTCGTGGTGTCTGTTATACACCAATCGATGCCATTGTCTGCAAACGCATTCATAACTGAATTTGTGGTCAAATGATAGGTAACTCAACAGGACTTCACATAAATCATCACCAAATCTGTCAAACGAGTCTTTACTATACTTTTCGCACATTTTTAATAAAAATTTATTTCATAAAACACATTAACATTGAAATTTTGTACTGAATATAAATATGATAAAAGTTTGTTAAAACAATACTAGTATTAATTGCATGTAAAATGTAAACCTATTTATTCATAAGTAGTTTGTTTTGATAATCAGAGGTAAACCAGAATAACATAATAGCAGTGAATGTGACGTAAACTGCATTCAAATAGCATTGGCTGTCAATACATGTGGCGCTTCCCAGCAGTCATTGTAATCACTCACAGCTATTGCCATCAGAATATTCTGTGATTCTTGACATGAGTTTTAAAATATAAAACTTTATTGTAGTTTGCAATATAAACTAGATTATACAATAGTTTATAAATTAAACATTCTGTTATATAAAATCATAGCATAACTACAGTATTTGCAGAATATTAGTTTAAATTTTTCCAGGCATGGTATTATTTAACCATGAAATTAAACTTAAAAATATTTAATATCAGTTAATTTTTAATTACAAACATTTTCTTTATTTATTATAAAATCACAAAATTTGGAACAATTATTAATAACATTATTAACAGCCGTTTGTGTGATATATGAATCGTCAATGAGTTTAATAGTTTGTAATTTTGTTAGTTTTGATAATGAATTCAATGATAAAGCAGTGATTTTTAATTCTTTGAGATATAGATATTGAATATTTGGTAAATATTTGTTTATATTGGTAAAGAAAGTGTTAATAAATTTGTAGCCATTGTATGAAATGAGTGTTAAATGTGGTAATCGTTCACTGATTCACACATTAATTCAAATTCTTTAGAAAATGCTCACAAAAGCAAACGTTTTAAAAGCTTAAAGTTATCATTAATTGTCTTAAGAATATGTTCAATGAGTTGCCCAAAAACCGGGACAATAAGATTGACTGAAACAAATACGACTGTTTTGAAATAATAAACACTAGCTAGATCCTCTAACATAGAGTGATATTATTATTTATTAATTAAGAATGAGTTTTAAAAATAAAATTTTAAATAATAACAAAAACTTATAATTCATACAAATTAGAACATTATTTTAAAAGTACATTATTTTTACGATATAATCATTTGATTTGTCTTTCAGAGTCCAAAGCTATAAATTTGATAATTAATATATTTGAAAACAAAGGTATACTCAATGGTATGATCTCAATAATTGTCAAACAGATTTATTTAATTACAGAATATTATCATTTTAATCAATACAATTATTTTAAATTTTGATTTTAATAATATACAGTAGTATTCACTTTACTCTAAATTCGGGAATATTTGTTGGGGAGGAAGTAAATTCAAGTTTGGACAGCCGGCGCCATACAACCAACATAATGGTTGGGCGCATATCTTGGGTCTAACAATCTGTGGGTCTTTGGCGGCGCGTTTAGGGTCACACATGAAGCCCATAAGCAGAGCATATCGGGTCCCAGAGGTGACCCTCTCGACGAAGTGCCGGTTCTCTGCGCCCGACGTGAACGCCGCCACTCTTCCAACTTGGGCTCAATTGTTGAGTTCGACATCTCGTCTGTGAATATAAAGCGTCCGCCGGAGAAGTCCGCGCCATATGTCGACAAATATAGCACTGAAGTGAACTGCTCGAACTTAACGTACCTTTTGTCGATGTGCCTGCTCCAATACAAGTCTATTCCGATTTGTGGTCTCTTTGCCGTATTTCTTTGGAAGAAAGTCATATGCGTTAAGTAGGGCTGAGCCGAGGGGACGCCGAACTGAATTGCAATCGTTTTTCGGATTCTGTTCGTCACTGTTCTGTAGACTTTAAAGTCTTTTTCGGTGAACAGCTCTTTAGGATTCTCTTCCTTTCGTTGTATCCTTTCAATGAGTTTATAGATATTCACTAAATTAGTTGCCTTCGAAAGTTCGATCGTATGGAAGTTGAGGGCAGACTTCCCGCCCGAAGAGCCACCAAATGATAGGCCTTTCTTCATGACTGACAACAAGTGTTTGGCTTCCGATTCAGTGATCACCGAATCGGACACAAAACGTCCGCATCTTTGAGGGGCACACGAAGGGAACCGAACTCTGTCTTCGTTATAGTCTTGAGAACACATCACTTGTTGTCTGATCGGTGAACCCGTTATGGATTGATTGGCCGAAGCCATCACTACTTCTTTGGTGTCATTGGATTGAGT